TCTATGATTCTATGATTCTAATTGCATGTCACTGTGGTCAGCTGAGATACTGTTTGCTGTTTGTTTAAATGTATTGAAATTAAGCACTGCATCCACATAACGTAGTCTGTTCTTTGTTGCAATGCGTATTTGTGGTGTGTGGGGATATTTTTTATGGAAAGAATGAGCCTGCAACACTCAACTCGTACACGGGGTGAGAGTGGTAGATGTTGCATCCCTAAGGGTTTTGTGAAGGTTTCTGTGAAGTGTAATGCTGCTGTTTTATGATAAGATTGACACTGTATTTTTTTTCTTTGTATTGGTCTGCCCAAAAATTCATTCTATTCTCAGAAGTTAAAAGCAAGTACAATGAACATTTATGCCTTCCTTTCCAGAAGACAATCTTTGGTATCGTGCTGCTGTTACAGCATGTGTTTCTGAAGATTCTGTTTTGGTAGGCTATATAGATTATGGTAATTTTGAAGTTCTTCCGCTGACTAGACTTCGTCCTATGATTCCAAGATTAATGGACTTGCCAGCTCAAGCCATAAGATGTACTTTGTCAGGTATGAAATAAATTATAAGCAGTTTTAAACTGGGTAAAAGTAAAATAAACAGGATTAGATAACGATCACACCTGTACTATCTTATACTGAAATACAGGGAAGGACAGAGATAACAGTAGGTGTTATTTCAAGAATTCTTAATTATTGTGGCATACCTACAAAATGTGACAAATCTTTCTTAATGTACCTGTTGACCTGCAGTTGTACCCTTGGAAAACTGTTATCTTAACATACCTGTTGGGTTTTGCATGTGCTTTTATTCTACGCATAATTCAGTCACCTATTGGATTTGTGGAATTCTTAAATTTGTTATGGTTCTAACACTGCAGAGGAAGGTAAAAATTTCATTTTATATCCTGAAATTTAGAACTGCATCTGTCCCCCTCCCCTGTGTCCCATCTAGTAAAACTACTCTTGTCTGTAGGCTTGTGAAATTTGTCAAGTTGGAAAAGATGTTGATGCTTCCTAGCTCATCCTTCTGTCTGAAGGCAGGATTGTAATCTGTTTTTTGACATACTTGTTTAACCTGCTGTTGGAGATTTGTTCCACTATGCAGGGGTCCTTTGGAATACTTGCTGTCTATCCTTCCTTTACAATACTTGATATTTAACCTGATTTTCAAACTTTTGGGGACGTTCAGAGTAGCATTCTAGCTTCTTTCTTTGGAGGAGAATGTGAGAAAACACTTCTCTTGTATGTAGACATGGAACCAATGCATATGGAATGTGACCTGAAGAAATCTGTTTTCTGGGGCAAATCATGATGCCTGTAGCTGATGATGAGTGTTCTGAGACTAAGAAAGGTCCACAACATGGACCAAAAAAAGTGATCAGATGTTTCCTGATTAGAGTCAAGGATTATTGCTGCATAGAATATCTCTGGAAGGCAACTTCTGCCAATCTGTTACTGTGAAGTAGGGGTTATAACCTGCATTTTAGAAATAAATTTAGTAAAGAGTGAGTATTTTAAGGAGGAAGAAGCTTATAGTAGCAGCTACTTTGGCTGAGAGATGGTTAATGTTTTTCAGAACTATAGGTTGTGTTTGTGAGACCCGAAGACTGACACTTCTTATTAATACTAACATATTGTTGAGACTTGAACTTTCCATGTTCTGTGACTTTTTAGGTGTAAAACCGCCATTAGGAGCCTGGACCTCAAAAGCCACTTCTTTTATGCAGCAGCTGGTGAAAGACAAAGTGTTCACAGTAAAAGTAGTGGATAAAGACAGTTACAGATCTGTGGTGGAGCTTGTAGATGCCTCAGTTACTCCAGTAATAAACCTATCAGGCCATCTGATAGAGAGAGGCTGCGCAGCTGAGGAGTCGAGGATGGCCTTACCAGCAATTGGAATGAGTGATGTCAAGCAAGTAAATGGTGAGTATGAGCAGATTCTGCTGAACTGGTGTTATTTAACCTCCTGCTATAGTGGGTACAAAGAATACAAGTTCTTGACTGGTAAGAATTTTCTAGTGTGGCTGATGGATGTCCCATCCCTGGGAGTGTTCAACGCCAGGCTGGACGAGGCTTGGAGCAACCTCGTCTAGTGGAAGGTGTCCCTGCCCATGGCAGGGGGGTTGGAACTAGATGATCTTTAAGGGCCCTTCCAACCCCAACTGTTCTATGATTCTATGATGAAGCCTAGCCTTCACTGCTGTGAAGTTGGCAGGCTTTGCGATGAAGAAATTGTGCTTGCTTATGTGTGTGTGTGTGCATACATAACGAAGTTGCAGTTGCTTACTTTTGGAAGACAATAATAGTATTTCACTTTCCCTGGTTAGAAGTTTTAAAATTTCCAGGTGAAGTGGGATGTAACTAGTTAGTCCTTGCTTGTCCTTACACTCTTTAGCTCAAATAGTATTTCATCTATCTCTATATATATCTCTTACACCTAAACCAACATACTTAGTCCTTGAAAAATTGTTTGACCACAGTAGCCTACACATCTTCAAGGCTGTGCCTAAATTGCCTTTTTTTGCAGATTTTATCAGACTACTTTGTGTTGTGGGAAGATTCCTAGCTTCCCTCACATGAAGCCCCTCTTTTCCATCCTGTGCCTGGTGAAACTATATAGCCTCTTCTGATCTGTCTGTGTGGAAAACTGGAAGAAGTCTTTTTTTGTCAAGGCTGTGTCCAAATCCCTTAAGTTTGGTCTTCCTCACTATATGCTTCATGGCCAGGACATGGTTATTCTTCATCTTTGTTCAGAAGAATGTTCAAATGAACACGAACTCTTGTGGTTGTATCCAAGCACATTTTGACCTATTGCCATCATCCTGGACCTGTTTTGTACTCCACAGGTTTCTTGGTTACTTCTCACCGTTTTTAAATTTTTCGTGCTGAGTGGGAGCTTTTGAATGTGGGTTCTAAACAGATTATCAGGTATTGTCTTGTGCGTTTTGGTTGAACTAGATGATCTCTAGAGGTCCCTTCCAACCCCTACCACTCTGTTTTATAACTTGTGCTTTTTATATTGAAATTTTAGCAGACAGATTTCTCTGTCAACTTGCAAAATAGTTTTTCATTAACTTTTTTTGCTTTAAATAAAGTTGGTGATTAAATCTGTGTTTGCTGGATCCAGCATGGTATAGGAGTAGGTTTTAGTTAACTTGCCAGAAATTAAGAAACAGTTTAATTTTGGTTTTGAGAACTAATTGGAAAAAATCTCACCATCACATGAAAGAATAGACAATTACACATCACACTTGTTAGGCATCCTAAAGCTTTCTCTACGCTTTGAGCCGTTTCTTAATTTTAATTTTTCTTGTTAATTGTTCTTCCTTCTGGAGTCGAGAATTCAACCAGCTTCTACTTCTTTGAACATACTTCTCAAAATACACTGACAGTGCTTTACCTCTTCCAGGAAGGATCTGGCAGTTGCTTACATTGCAAAGGATAGTCTTGTATTCCACTGAAAATAAGGAAGACTTGAGAGCCTATTTGTTTTTTGGAGGGGTTGTATTTCAGTTTGGGGTTTGGTTTTTTTTTTTGTTTGTTTTGTTTTTAAATTGGGGGATGAGGGGGAATAGGTTATTTTTTTAGTTTTTTCTTTGCCTGTTGGCAGTATAACTTCCGGAAGTAATCTGCTGTCAGTCACAATAGTAGGCAGATGGAACAGCATCTCAGCATGGCCATCCTTAAAGGTCAAAACTTTCTTGAACTTCATTTTCAAGAAAAAAACCCAAACACTTAAAACTGGAAAAGTCTACCAAAGTCAGAGCCCAGCCACTTGGAGTCGTGTCTTGAAAAGGCTGACCATATTTCTGCATGCTGGTGCCTACCACAAGCTGTAACAAATTTAACATCTATGACAAATACAGGAAGAGTTAATAATTCCCTAATAGAGGCAATGGCAGCTTCTCCAGTGTGCCATGGTTTAGTTTTCACATGAGCTATTCTACAATTTCTGTTAAATAATAAGCTTCTTTCAAGGTACTTCAGTATAATATACAGTACGAATTTCTGCAACCAATCTTTCTATTAATCTTTTTGTTCTTTCTTCTCCTGCGATCTTTTCCAGTACTCCCGGTGACAGCAGTTTCCTGGGAACCAAGGTTCCTCACAGTCCCTCTTCCTGAGGTTATTGCCACTTAGTCTGTACCTCTTTGTGTGGTTACTCTTCCCTGCTCCTCTAAGGCTTGCCCTTCTCAGTAGTGATGAAATACATGAAGCAACTGGCACATTTCTCTTACTTGGTTTTATTCTACAAAGAGGCTCTCACTGGTAATTAGCTTGTTGGATTACTTATAACAAGGAATTTGAGGACATGAATGAGCATTAATATTATTTTAATATTTTCCTTCCTCTACTTCTCTGTACGCTGTAGAGGACACAACAAACAAAAGAATTTGCAAGTGGAGTAAACTAACTCTTAAACAAACCGTAGATGTTATGGTGTGTACGCTGTACAATCCTGGAGAATTCTACTGTCAGATTTCAAATCAGAGTGGTAAGTCCATTCACCTTTTTTCTTGCTGCTAGTTGCTTTCCTTCCTGATCTGTCATTTATTAAGTTCTAATGCATTATTGTTTCAAGTGAGCTTATAGCACCAAGGCTTACCTCTGAGGGTTTTGGTTTTGTGGGGTTTTTTTAATCAAAGAATACAAGTGGAATGGGGGGGGGGAGGTATCATGGTATGTAGTGACTCTGAGATTGAAATCTGAAAATGTTGAAGTTAAGCAGTTAAATAAAAATCTGCAAAAGATGGCAAATAAGAGAGACGTTTGCTGTGCCCATACAGTACTTACTGGAGCTCTCTTCTAGTATGCTGTCCTGTTCTAATTTATAAAAACTTAACAAGATTCAAAAGATAAAATGACATGAAAATGAGAAGAAATGCAGCTTTTGAAACTTGACTTCCTGTTGCATAAGCTCAAAAAATAATCTTCTTTTCTGTTTGCATGTATAAAGACTCTGATAGCTGCTGGCTTTTTAACCTGCTAGAGAAGCAGCATGATCAAACTCAGTGGCTGGAAGTGGAAGCTTAAGTGCGTTCAAACCAAAAATACAGGCCAGATCTTAAAGCGAGTGAAGTTCATTCCTGACTTACCTAGGGAGAGTATAGATCCTTTGTGGCTTACTGGCTTTAAAACATGACTGAATTCCTCCCTAATAGTAATGTTACAGAGCAGGCTAAGGGATTTGATTATAAAAAATAAATAAGCAAGCAGGGTGAGATCTCATAATCCATCATATGCACTGGCTGAACTAGGTAATTCCCATGGTGTCATCTAGCTGCAAAATGTACTTTAGATTTTGGAGAGAAGGGTGCTTGTTGGATTAGCAGGAAGATTTACTGGTCATTTTGCTATCCTATTGAACTTGTTTTGTCAAGTAAATATCAGCTATCTCGCCTCTTCCTGTTAATAAGTCTGTCTAGTAAGTTAACTGTTTAACTCTGTGTCAACAGTTCTTTTTTTATGAAAATCTAAAATTCACAGAAACCTCCCATTAAATCTTTTGTAAGTAGCAAAATACAGCAAACAGTACTGATAACGTTCAAGTGAGCTTATTTCATTCATCTTGCCTTTTTTTTTCTTTCTAATTGTCAGAGTTACTTGCTCTAAACTTACTTAACGAATCATTGTCTGAATACTGTCAGAAAACCCCACCGAATGGTTTTAAGCCTGAGAATGGAGAACCTTGCTGTGCTTTTTTCACTGGTGAGTAACAGACTGAGGTGGTTTTGTTCTTACAGAGTGAACGTAAAGGGGAAAAACAAAAAAAAAGGATATAGCTGATAGATTACATTGGCAGAGGATAGCAGAGAATTATTTACTTAAAAAAATGCTGGAAAACTTACTGAATATGTGAACTAATTTTTTTTTTTTTAATTTTTTTTTAAATTAGATGATGGTAACTGGTACCGTGCTCTGGTGCAAAACGTTCATTCAAACGGAACTGTTGAAGTGTGCTTTGTGGACTATGGGAACGTTGAGGAAGTACCACTGGATAAAATACGACAGATCTCATCCTCGTTCCTAAGACTTCCATTTCAAGGGATTAAATGCTGGCTCTCAGGTGGCTCTTCCTGTGGATTCTTTCTCTTCACAGGAGCTATTGCGTTTAGAGACTTATGCTTTAGGTGAAGGGGGGTGATGACAGGGTTTACTTAACAGAACTCTGGGGTTTGTTGGGGATTTATTTTTGGAGGGTGTGGAGGTGTGTCTGGGTTTTTTTGATATTATAATGAATGTTTGTGTTGCTTCCAGCCTCTGGAAATTTTAGGAGCCATTGTTTTAGCCTTACTACACAGCAGACTAGCCTTTAACAGAAAGATGGTGGCTTTTCCCTGGCCTGAGGGTGCTGTGGAGTGATCTGCATGAAGGTTACTTACTGATTTAACAGTCAAAGGGAACTTGTTCTCAAGTTCTGCTTCACCTGTAGTACTTACTAGCTTTTGGTTGCTGTCTTACTAGTAACAAATGTGCTTTTGTGCCACTTAATTATTTCTCAATATTTTTGCAGGGAAGGGAGCTCATCTGTTTTTATGAAGCATGCTGGCCTTTCAGTTCTCTCTAGGGATGTTGCATTTGATTGCTGCAGGGTTTGGGCCCGTACTGCTGTTTCTCAGTCTCCTACCAATTCTCTGCCTCTTCCTTTTCCATGCCAGATCACTCAAAATTCTACAAAATTGTTCTTTCTAATGTAGTCTGCTTGGTTTAAAAATACAAACTGTGGAAACAGGAAAAAGCTCAAAACCACATTTAATCAAAGTGTCTTCTGCTATTGGTGTGGGGTGTTTTTTTTTTTTTTTTTTGGGTGTGGGATTTTTTTTTTCCCTCTCTTAAAACATTTTGGTTTTCTGCTCCTTTGATAAAAAGGTTATATTAAATTGATTCATAAACAGTCTTAACAGTGTTACTTGTGCTAAGGCGTAGTAATGTACTTGGTAGAAAATCATAAAATGTAGAAAACGGAACTTGGGAGTGCTGAGGAAATGTGTTATTTTAGAAGAAAGGAGGAAGAGGGAGCCCAGTTAGCAGGATCAAGTACAACGTGGATCCCTAAGGCAGTAGAAGTAGCCTCGGTATTTCAAGTTGTGCTTTAAAAAAAGTGGTGTGTGGTTTCGTGGTGTTTTGGGGTGGCTTTTGTAAGGGAAAACACAGTGGTCAAGAAAGTCACTTAATGGAGGTCTTTTGAACAGTTCTCTCTACCTCCTAGGTATAAAGCCTGGTGGCAGCAAATGGGTTCCAGAAGCTACAGCAAGATTTCATATGTACACTGCAGGGATAAAGCTTCAAGCCAGAGTAACTTCCCTTTCCAGGGATGGGGCAGGTGTAGAGCTTATTGACAATTCCACAGGTCATCCAAAAGTGATCAATGAGATACTAACTTTTGAAAAATTGGCTGTAAGGGACATTCTGCAGGATAAAAATAACTCGCCAAACAAGTCTGTTGACAAAAAAGGTAATTGAATGAATGTTAACTATTAGATTAAACGAGAATTTTCAGTATTCCAGCCTTTAACTGTGATCTTGCTGTTTAACTGTAGTTAATATAAATAATAAACATGCAGAGTTTATACTGCCAGTTTTTAGAGCTGCCCTGCAGGTGGCATTACAGACAAAAAGAGAGAGAGAAATCAATGGTTTTGTCTTAAATGAATGTTGTTTGAATATTTGATAGTAGAAGATGACAAATTTGCTACAACTGAAACTTTTCGATGTTTACTTTCCAAGATCTTATTTTTCTCAGGTGGTTTTTACTTTAGCTACTCTTATATGCCAATAGTCTGTGAACAGCAAATTAAGCAAGAATTATCTTGGGTTAGATTTCTCTTCTTGAAGACATGCAGTTGTCTCTAAAATGAAAAGAGATATTCTGTAACAGTTACGTGTGTGAGGAGAGCGGTACACTGCGTTTTCTTACTGTTCCTGGTAGAAACCTCACTTGGGCACTGGAAGTCGACTGAACTGGCCGTAGGTGAAACCGTGTATGTCTGTGTAACAGAAGTTGTAAGCCCGGACTTGTTCTATGCTGTACCAGTTCAAACTAAAGGTAAGAACGTGTTCACTGTTCTGATATTGACAAGAAGTCACTGTTGCAAGCTAGTTAATGAGATGAATGCCTACAGCGAACTGAACCATGTGGGAATGTAGTTTGGGCAGTAATAAAATACAAAAAAGTACCACAGGTGGGAGTACAAGAGACTAAAAGTTTGTGCTTCGTGGTACCCAAATGTGGTTAGTTATCCACTATATTTTTTTCTGTAGATCAGGAGAGCCTACATAGGCTGTTGACTGAACTGGAAGACTATTGTAAATCTTGTAAGCACCAGTCCTTCGAACCAAGACCGGGTGAAGCCTGTTGTGCCAGGTTTTCAGGTGAGGCAGTCCTTATACTTCCTTGCCCGGTGTGAAACACAACTTTCCTTTTTGCTTTAGAAAAAAGAGAACCACCAACTTTAAAGCGCTTACGGATCTCTGCATTCTGTTACAAAGGATAGCCTGACTGCATCTCTAGGCAAACAAACCGTGTCACAGTCCAGGAGGGAAAATAAAGAATAGGTTGTGCCCTGCAAAATGTAGGGAGCTTTATGAGGGAAGCAAGCTAGTTACTAGTTAAACTGAAACTTATTTGTGTTTGAGTGTCAGCGGCATCAAATTGATGGCACAGCAATAGTGTGCTTGCATGTATACAGACCCGCTTCTAGTTTGTGGGTGCCAGGGTGGCTTATTGTTGCTTTGTGCGAGCACTGGATGGTGACACTGGCTGGGGCAACTAATCATTCAGCCTTGTTAGCCTAACAAGCTGTCCAGGCTTAGTAAACTGTTAGTTCAAGCCAAAAGTGTTCTTAACTGTGAAGGAATTTCATTTATTATCTTAATCTTTCAGAAGAGGGGATTCTCTGCTGATTTATATTTATAGATTTACTCAATATGTTTTTAAAAATACTGTTGACTCATAAGTAGTAAATGCTGACTGCCTGTGGATCGTTACAGGAGATCTGTCTAAGTGCTGAAAATTAACCTGGGTGCTGGATCAGATGACAGCTCATGGAAAACAGAATAGATGAATCCAAAAAAAAAAAAAAAATTAGACAGGCCACAAGAGTTTGGCAGTTGTCTTCAACTTCCACTGATTTCTTTGTTTGTTTATGGCTTTTCAGGATAACTGAGGAAAAAAGGGGGTTGTTTTCTTTTTAATTTTGGTTATGACTTGAGATGTATAGGTGTTGGGAAAACAAAGATAAGGAGCTAGAAATACAGTGTGTGGGCATCCTTAAAACAGTATTGTAGTAAAAATCTTAACTAATTGGGCAGAATTGTGAAAGCAACCCTTATATCTTTATGAATGCAGCAGTCAAACTATTCTGTGGGCTTGTTTCTTGTCAATTGGCCTCTTATATATACCAGAGTACTTAAAAAATCCTGGAAAACTATACAGATTTTTGTTCTTGGGATAACTGTGTTTATAAGACAGTGCTTCACATGTGATTCTTCTTGTCCCATCTTCTCAGGTGATGGCCGCTGGTACAGAGCTCTTGTTCTGAAAGCTTCTCAGTCTGTAGTGAAAGTACTGTATGTGGACTATGGGAACATAGAAACTTTACCACTTTCAAAGGTGCTGCCAATCACTGATTCCTACTTAAAGCTGCCTTTTCAGACAATTACATGTTCACTTGCAGGTAAAAAAAAACCCAAAACCCAAACAAAAAACAACCACCATGAAAAATCCCACAAACCACCACAAAAAAATCCTGACTGGTTTTCTTGAACATTATAAATCTGTACCTGTTCTGATGATAGTGTTTGTTCTTGAATACTGATACACAACGTGATGATCCGCTGAAATAGCGTGCTGCTTAATACTGCGAAAGCTGTTTGGGAAAGTATGTGTTTCACTTAATTACTTGTAGAATCTAAGCACTTTGTCAGGAAAATCTAGCATCATATTTCAAAACTAGTGATAGCATTACATGTAAGATTCAAGTCATATCAGAAAGGAATTTTTTATAGAACAAACTTGATTGTACTTTTTTTTTGTTTTTTCAGGAATAGAGAAAGCCAAGTGGTCTCCATTATTACTGGACAAGTTGAAAGAAATGTTACTGAATAAATACGTCACAATTGCAGTGAAAGGGATTAATGGAAATGTTAATTCAGTAACAGTAGAGAAACTTGATGAAAATGGTAGTCTGAATGTAGCTGACAAACTGGTAATGGAAGGTTTGGTCAAATCCTGCAGGGCTGAAAGCTTTAATACTGAATGTCAAGGTACATACTTTCACTTAATTACTTCAGATTACTTAATCTGAAGAACTGTGGGCACATGGAATGCTTAAGTGACTTTTCCTTCTAAAAAGTCTTAGAATTCCATGTATCACCTCTTAAATTAGGGAAGCAGTGTCCATGTGTACTTTGATTCACTTGCTTTGTTTTTTGTAGGCATTGGCGGTGAGACCAAATGCTGCTGCATGGAATTAAAAATGCAAGTAAGATTCAGTCTCAGCAAACTCTCTTTTTTTATATTTCCAGAATTTAAAAGAAACTCTGTGTGGGAAGAAAATGGGAGTTAGGGAGATTAACAGCTAGCCAAAACATTGACGATCTGCAAAGTGAATATCCTGATGCTTTTTCTCTTTTTGTTTTATACATGGTAATAAGTAGACCTCCCTGAAACTGAGGGAGGACAGTGTATAGATCAGACTTCATTAGCCTGTTTTGCCACACATACAGCTCAGGTGTTTTCTATAAATGGTGTTATTGGGACAAAGGGCAGATGGATTTCTTTTTTTCCCCAGTAATATGGCTGTGTTTCGCTGTGGGTAGAACTTGGCAAACAGCTGCACATAGAATGTGTATTTCGGGTAGCAGACAAGAGCCATGTGCCACAGTTTCAAGCATGGAGCTAGGCTGAGAATCCAAGTGCAGTAGAATACTGGAGTTTTTCAGAGTGTTTGCCAGTTGCAGAATTTTTTTTTTCCCTCAATTTGCAAACAAAAGTAAAGTATCACTTACAGATATGGCATATTCCTGTAATTTTTGAAAGCTTTCTGGTTTTAAGCTTTCTTTCTTTTTAAACTTAGGGTATTTATGAAAAATTAGAACATTAGATTACTAAAAGTAACTTAAAAGTATACCAGAAAAGGTGCATCGGCCTTTCTCAAAGTGAGGATCTTCATCAGAGGAATGAGCTAAACCTTGAATTTTAAAGCACAAAACCCCTTTCAAGGGTGGTTGGAACTTCCCCCTCTCCCCCCAGCCAGAGGCAGCAAGGTCAAAAGCAAAAATATGTACTATGATATTTTGGAGGTAGGAAAAGAGCATTTCTTTTCAAGGTCATTTAGACCTTTACTGCTTCAGAGTAACTATAGTTTCCAGGAGTTTAGTGGCAGAAAGGCAGTAAAACTATGCTGTTCCTGAACACAGCTGACTTCTCTGTCTGAACCTCCTTTTCCCTTCCCCCTTTGCATCTCTTTGATGTTCTGGTTTGATCTAGCTAATGTCGTTTCTGACTTCAGTTTGGTCACCTTCTGTTTTCTGTTATCCTTCCTTACTCTGGTAGCTTTGCCTCAAAGTCTCACAACAGATGAAGAGAAGACAGAATATTCCAGTGTAACTGAAAACACCAGGAAATAGACATGTGAATAACCAAATTTAAGATCCTGATCTCTGCCCTAATTTGAGTATTTCATCAATTTGATTCAAAGAAGCTTCTTCAGAAGAAAGGGAGGGAAAAAGAAGGGAGAGGTGGGCAGGCAGGGGGAAGTCAGCTACAATTCTGCTGGGTTTTTTCCCTCTCCAGAAGATTTTACAGCAGAAGGGAACTGTATATTCTGTCAACTAATATGAGACTTACCTGAGTTTGTAGGATCTACCATCACGTGAAATCAGAAATTAATTAAAAAAACCCAGTAGTCTATTTCGAATTCTTTCTGCTTTTTCCACAGCTTAAAAAACATGAACAGATCCTACTCTTCCTTTTAAACAAGTATGGGAATCCAGATGGATTCACTGAAATGAAAAAACTGTTGGACCACTAAGTCTCTGACACGTGCGGTTTCATCTGTATGTGTACCAGGTTGCTGCAGTTCCTCTTTTTGGAAGGACACGTGTGTTCACCAGCTCAAAAACGAGTGTCGCTCTGTAGGAAGTTTAAGTACCACATTTATCTGTATGCTTGGATTATTATTGTGAAATAAGTATGTAACTTGAAGGATTTCAAAGCTGCAAGCTAAGATTTCTGTTCTGTTTTTGGTTTATACCACCCTGTGCTGCTAAGCTTTTTGCTTTCACTTTGCTGTTGAATGCACGTACCTTGATGGAATGGCCGTTGCGTTGCGAGTCTGTGCTGCGAACTTACATTTGAAATTACTGTGATTGCAAAGCCTCCTTCAATTTTGGCACCATTAACTTTACCGTAAAAACCGTATCTTACCTTGATTAGGCTTCTTTCAACTGAATTTCCAGTCTGAAGTTATGCTGAAAACGGTTCTTCATAAATTTGGTTTTGGTGTCATTAAAGGGTGAACCTTGCCTTGGGCTGCATATAGATAGTTCCGTCTGAAATCAGTAAACCTTTAAAGGTGCACGGTTCTGTATTTACACTTGTGCTGTGTAATATGCATCTGTGAATGCTGTCTGAAGTAAATTGTGTTAGAGCTCTTCTGTCTGTAGCTGTGTTGTCAGGATTTCTACCCCATCAAGTTTTTACACATCATAATAGAGAAGTCCTGTTTTGGAATATGACAAAAATACTGAATGAAATTACTAATTTTCAGTATTTCTCTAAAATACAGGTGATACCTAACTGTCACTTCTGACAAATCCAGTGCAATGCTACTAAGGAATGTGGAATTACTGTTCACGAGCGCAGTTGGCATTTGCTTATTGAAACTGTAGGGCCAGATTTTTTTTTTTGTCTGCTTGAAGTATAACTGGAAGGATCTTGAGACTAAACTTGTTGTGAGAGTGTAATATTTTTGTTTGACTTAATGTTTTATTACACTTAAATTGCCTCAGATATTTTTTTCCTCTCTCAGTTCTTGTTGCATCGTATTCTTGAGGTAGCTAATAACGAGATGAGCTCTCGCTCTTGGGTCTTTAGAGTTCTCTTTGTGGCCCTGGTTCTGACCCAAGATTATGGCCATCTCCGCTGCACTGTGACTTCCTGGGGCAGGTGGGACTTGCAGAAGCATTTGCCCACGTGCAAAGCAACTCGCTGACGCTGTAGTCCTCCCACAGCTCTCGTTCACTTTTCCACATCCCGCCTCTCCTAGCTCCTAGTCGCTGGAGTTCAGAAGCTGACTTTGCAGGTCGCTTTGTCTACACTTTGTGAGCAAGAGAAAGGAGAAGTGAGTCTGTGCTTGTTCTACTCAGTCAAAAACCCCTGGAAAGCGTTGGTTGGCGTTGCACTTGGAAATGTGCGTATGGTGCAGCACGAATAGCTGGCAGCAATCCTTCCAGACAGCAGAAGGAGACGAGAAGTAAGAGACTTCATATGGTTCAGTTCACTCCTTAATTTTGCATTAAATCTTTGGGATTATTAGTGTAGGGGCAAATCACATAAGAAATGCGTAAACTTCTTGGACTTCTTGATAAAGCCTTGGGTTCCTCTTGCTTGTTTTTTACCTGCTACTTTTAATCTGTAATTTAAACTTGTTCTTGAAGTGATAAACCATCAGCTATGGGTTATATTTATCTACTTTGACATTAGATTCTACACTAGCATTTAAATTTCCATGTGTACTTATGCCTGAACAAAGGTTATTAAGTGAAATTCTTTAACATCCATGATCTCAGTAAATAAAATTTCTTAATTGCTCTTTGGAGAAGAAAAACAGAAGAGAACTGGAACTCTAGAACAACATAGCACTTCCGATAGGGAAGTAGTATAAATCTATTAAAAATCATATAGCGCTGAAAACCAAGGGCTTTTAATCCATAAAAGATCATTTTCACTTACTAATCCCTGTTGGAGGATCTATACGTTGTTCATTGGGTTCAACTGACTATTTTTACCTGGCACTTGGTGTTCCTAACCTTACGTACCGAGGTAGATGCAAGGGCCCGTGTTGTCTGTGCAGATCCCAGAATTACCCGTCTGTGTTTGGCGATGGGTCAGGGAGAACTTCCCGCTGGCATTCCATACCAGGCTGTGCCAGACCCTGTTTGGTAGCTCCAGCCACCTCCTGAGAACTGCATTACTGTCGGAAAAGAAATTCCAGACCACAGCTAGGGATTGATTTAGGTTGGTTAGTACCCTCATCTCTTAAATTCCCATTGCAGGCAAGAGAACAGCTAACCCCGGAGCAAGGTCCAGGTGCTGCATGCCCACGGCACGGCTCATCTTGTGCCCTTACTCTTGCTGCGGAGTTCTTGCGGTGCTCAGCCTTTAAGGGTGAGGAGTGTTTGCAGCAAGAGCGTGGTGGGCGCCCTGTGTCCTGCTGGAGAAAAGAAGGAGAAGGCAGCGTGAGGAAAGCGGATCTAGGAATGGGATCTGCTACTTCAGTCTAGCTTCTGCTAGGGAATAATCTTACCAAGTACTTATGTCCTAGTTTACTCTTAGAAAATGA